GATGATATTTTTGACATTCATGTTCCCTCTGCATCCATAGTGATGAAAATTTTAGCATCATTTTTGACTTATAATGTCACTCCAAAAGTTCAACAAACATTGTTTGAATACAATAAAATATATATGTGAAACTCAAAGTAAAAATTAGAATTAATTTCAATTTTAGTTCTTAATTAATCAAATTTTTACAAATGCACCACATTTTAATTCTCACAAAAGAATAATAGTGATCCATTAAGTTGCTCGCCCATAGGTGGGAGGTTGCGCCGTTGCGGGTTCGAGCCTCAGTGGAGGTGGTATTGACTCTTTGTGTTTCAGTATGTTGAGAAAGTAATTATGAAAAAAAAAACTACATTGTAGCAGAGTCAGTAATACTCAAAATAAAAAAAAATTGTGATCCATTTTAAATAATCATTAACTATATCTAAGACTCTAACTAATTTTAACGGTTGGAGTACCTTGATTTGTAAGAATCTCCACTCCTAGCGAAAAAAAAAAAGGGAAAAGAGTAAAAAAAAAAAAATCTACCAAGAATTAAAGGATTGTATGAATTTGACTTTATTGTGAGTAATTTAATTTACAAATATTAGGAGGCTTGTAGGCCAATCAAAGAACATCTTGCGATTTTATCTCCTTTATTTATTTACTTTTTTTTTTTTACGTGTGCACGGGATAAATATCACCTTGTAACTCTAATCGGTGAAGGACCACAAAGAGATAAAACACATTAGATTGTCCATAGTTAACCGGTTTTAATATAATAAAAAGACCGAGATTCGAACATATAACCTTGTAAATACAAGTTTGTATCCTTAGTCATTTTAGCAGAGGTTACCCTCCTTAATGACATAAAGATGTAGTAAGAAAGTCACTTCATTTGACTTTTGACAATTAAAACGTGTGTTTCAAGTAGTTCGGTTCGTTTTATAGTGTTTGGTGAAGGAGTTGTAGTTGGAGTTGGAATCCTAATGTGATTGAGATAAATTTTCTACAACAACGGGAGTCAGTGATGCTACTAGAAATCCTAGAATCATGGGGGTAACCATGGCTGGAGTTAAAGATTCACATGCATATATATCCACGAATATTAGATTTTCACTTGAATTTGAGATGGCCTGAGAGATCCTATGGGCTAATGGAAAATCCAAGTGTATAATTAATTGGTTTTATGGAATTAAAATGTGTTTGCACCATTTTTCCTTTGTAACGCTGGGCTTTGAAATAGAAATATCCAGCGTGTGCACAGTGCTAGTGAACTTAACATTTAGCATGGCAAAATCTTCATATATGTTTGAGGCCCACACTTGACACTACAACCAATTGCATCCTAAATTAATTTTGGACTCAAGAAATATTATGAATGTGTTTTGGGCTCATGGAATTAAGATGCACGTTATTGAACTTAAAGGACAGTTGTTAAATTTCGAGACTATTTCGCTCCAAGCACATTAAACGGCATGTCCCGACAAGTCTCGAGGGGGCAATTTGTAGACACGAAAAATTTGAACTCGACAAATGGGCCGATTAAAGTGTTATTGGGCCAATATTGAGATTGATGATTGGGCCAATTTAATTAATTGGATCATAGAAATTAATTTAATTTGATGAATCCAATTAAATTTGATTTGGGCCATTGAATTAATTAATTAATTGGTCCAAGCCCATCTCATATTTGAATTATAAATTATAATTATAATTTAAATATAATACAATTTTATTATATTTGAATTAGATAATTATAATTTAATTTGAATTTGAATTATATTATACAATAATGAACCTGAACTTGATTCTGGGCAAGGTTCATTTTTCTAAGTAAGTAATTAATTAATTAATTAATTAAAGGGGGAGTTTGTTGAGGAATGTTGGTTAGGCTTCTAGTATAAATAGAGTCTTCATTTTCATTCCAAAACACAACTTGAAGGCTTAGAGCTTGAAGGCATTGAACACTTGAAGACTTGAGGAGTTGAGAGCATTTGCAGAGCTTGAAGGCGTTGAAGAACACTTGAAGACTTGAAGGCATCTTTTGAATATTTTGCAGGCAATTTGAATCCATTGCAAGTACTTTGGAGCTTTGCAGAATTGATTGTCTCGAAGATCTTGAAGTCTTTTGAAGGCATTTGAGGATCTTAAGGCGACTTGAATCCATTGCATGTGTTTTGAAACTTTGCAGGGTTGATTATTTCTAAATTCTTGACGTTCGTTGTTGAAAGTCACGCCAATTGAATCCCGGAAGCTACACCACTTGAATCTCTGAGGCACGCGCCAATTGAATCTCGGAGGCACGCGCCAATTGAATCCCGGAGGCTACGCTATTTGAATCCCGGAGGCACTTCAATAGATAACGCCAGTGAAGAATCAGAGGACTAAACAGAGATTTTGTACCTGCACTTTGAATTATACACACGCTGTACACGGAATTTTGTGAATATATACAAAGTTTGCTTTTTTTGTGTTTACAGGAACCACAAGTCCGTTACGGGAGGGACTATAACTGCACCATTTTGATAAGTGAGCGGCAACATTTACACCACTCATAATTCAGGGGTGACATTAATAATTGACATATTATAGAGCGGCATTTTTTACAATTTTCCCTAATAATAATAATAATAATAATAATAATAATAATAATAATAATAAGAGTTAATTTCATTTTTAATCCTAGATTTATAGGTAAAAATTCATTTTTAGTAATTCTTTTTCAGAACAATACATTATGTGCACTGCCCAAAATGATATCATTTTTAATGTTAAGATTTTATGTGTATTATGTTAAGAGTTTATATGTATTATGTTAAGAATTTATGTGTATTATGTTAAGAGTTTATATGTATTATGTTAAGAATTTATGTGTATTCTGTTAAGAGTTTATATGTATTATGTTAAGAATTTATGTATATTCTGTTAAGAGTTTATGTGTATTATGTTAAGAGTTTATGTGTATTGTATTTACTATACAATTCTGTACATTTGAAACAGATAATATTTTTTTTTTAGAAGTTAACGACAGAAACGGAAAACAAAATTTCTAAAAAAAAAAAAAAAAAAAAAAAAAAAAAAATACAAAACGACATCGTTTTGGCCCGGGCGCACAAAATGGACCATGGTTTGCATTAAAATGTAGATCATAAATAAATATATATTTTTAATATATTGAATATACCTTATGTATATAGTGAATGTTCATTATTTGGTAGTATATCAAATACATTCAGTAATCAAATTATGTACCTTAAAAAAAAAAAAACTAAAGAACCTTTAGTGTATTAAAAATGCAATTTTAGCATAATAAAAACGATCCGTATGTCAGTGATTCACCTAATAAGGCGGACCATAGTCAATAGTATAATAATTGATTCATCACTTCTTATAGCAACCTCAAATAGTTGAGGTTTTTTTTTTTTTTTTTTTTTTTGCCCCAACATCCACCTCATCATCCATTATCTCGATCACTCAATTACGAAAATCTTCTCCTCATTAATTTTAGGTTTTTTTTATCAAATTTTTTGTGGATCCAACATTACTATACTATATTTTAATTATTTTTAAAGAATTTGAGGTCAAGATCGGCCCTTGAGGGGTATTAGGTATTTGAACATTTGTTATTTGGCACCACAGTAGATATTGAGTTACAATCTCACTGTGAAAAATATAATTTTCCAGACCCTTTTGCTGATTTATCGGCAGTAATTATTTACCAAACACTCCCATTTACAAGATACTCCGTAATAATTTACCTTTACCCTCAAATTTTGAAAAAAAACTAATAATTTACTTGATATGCAGAAAAAATTAAAAATAAAACAACTTTAAATAAATCAAAACTTTAATGCATTTTATTCTTTAATTATAAAATAATTGTATATTACAATTAATATATTTAAAAAGTGTGTCTGAGTGTGTGTCTATATATATATATATATATATATATATATATATATATATATATATATATATATATATATATATATATATATATATATAGCACACCACATTTATTTATTGGCATTTATGGTAAGTTCAAAAAAAAAAAAAAAAACACTCCCCCTTACTACGTGCACTTCCCCTTTTTGTCAAGCTAATGGACAAAGAGCAGCATCAGGACTGGGTGGAGGAGGAGGAGGTCGCCAAGGCTTCATCATCACCAGCAGGAGCAACATAAGAGACATTCTCAAGAGAGGCAATGTGACGATTGGCTCGGAGCAGCTGAGAGGGCAAGAGAGGCATCCTTCATGGTAGCAATGTGCGAAGTGAGAAAGGTGACTTGCTGTCTAAGTACAGCCAGTGTCAAAGCAGATTCAGTAGCAGAAGCAGTTGGTGTAGAGTCTATGCCTGTCGTTGGTGGATCAGTTGGAGTAGGAGCAGGTGGAATTGATGAGAGTGGCCCGATCATCATAGTGCGACCTTTGGAAGATGCGAGAGTCCATAGATGTCTTGTGAGTGATATGGCAGAGCTCTTCCTTGGAATATAGTTGTAGACCTTGTTGATGTAAAATCCCGGTGATCAGACATGGAAACGGGAGATGAATCTTGGCTTCCTTCTTTTTAGCAAAGCTCATAATGCGATGATAAATAAGATGACCAAGATGCAAAGAGGCGAGATGGTGGTGGCGGAGTTGGATTCCCGGCGTCGTCGCTGTCACCCTCTTCCTCCTCCAGGCAGCACCGGCTCCGGGTGGCTGCCATTCTACCTCGTTGCTTCGGACGTCCCGCATGGCTGCTGGGGTTTTTTGTTGCTTTGCTTAAAGGAAGAAGATGATGATGGAAATAAAAACATGGGCCGGGTCAGGATGATGTTTTTTGCACTTCTGAAATTGGATCTTTGGCCTTAAGAATTATTTTGAAATTTGCTTGGATTATTTGCATGGCTAAAAATTCATTAATTACAAGTATTAAGAATAACTGCATATACGCTTACTGCCACATGTCGTCGTTCACCTTTTTTTTTTCCGGCGAATTGATCTAATGACTAATGCTACTACGAGCCAAGCATTGCATCAGCGGCGGTGGGCATAGGGCAACATCGCTGCTTGTTCTTCTTCATCAGGCGATGGGCTGTTACTCTCTATCTCCGTGATGCTGTTAACTTCACCGGCGACGGACGGCGACTGGTTCATGGGTGACGGACTGGTAGCTTGTTGTTCACCGGTTTCCATGGACAGAGATGGTTGCCAGGTTGCTTCTCGGTCGCTGCGGAAAGGCAACGGGGTGAGCTTGCGGATTCGGTTCTCCGCATTCGGTCCGGCTTCACAATCAAGGATGCAGGCGGTGACCAGGCTGGGCTCCCAGCGACTCCCGAATTCCTCTCCTCCTCAGGCGTAGCTGACTCCGCTGCTGGTTTTGTGTCGACGGTGGCAAGCTTTATGTTGCAGCGAGTGATCCGGCGGAGGCATGCGGCATTCCAGGAAGAAGATGGAGGAGTACTACTACTGGTACATTTCCTTATTAAATGCAATTAGTTATATTATTTTACCATATTAGTACTTGCTTAATTTTTTTTGAAGGTTAATCTTGCGATTGTATTAATGAATCAAAGCCGAAATAGCGTTAGGTGGGATAGAATCCCAGTACATAGCTTGATCCTGTGTAAATGCTAACGAAGCTAAAGTATGCGTGTGTAAATTAACCTGTATAGAGACATAATTTAAAGTAATACGATCAAATAAAGACATAAGTGTTCTCCATTGGTCAACCGTGACCCCAACGTATGAACGAATCGGCGTGTGATGGTGCTGGATAATTGTAGTCAACTCCATGCAATCCGTGAGTAAACTTACTGATGTGTTGTTCCGTTCAAGTAGCCAAGACAGTGTTTCCTTGTACGCCTGCGCCTCCGCCATAAGTGGTGAGAAGCAAACCGGCAACTTGCCATTTTTTGCTGCCACAAAAGAGCCATCTGGCGCTACTAGTAATATTCCGTACATAGCCTCGCCCGTGCCGTGACGGAAGCCCGCATCCACGTAACACCGCAGGCCGCCACCTCCCGGTTCGGTTGATGTCGCCGACGCCGCATCCGGTTGGGTGCGGTAATCCTGGGCAGCACCGTATGCCTGAAGTGCTGTGGCTGCTGCCCTGCCAACTTGGGTAGGCCGCGTCATAGATCCCTTCCAAACAGCTGAGTTTCGGGTTCTCCAAATATAGTATAACACCGCTACCATGAATCGGGTTTGCTCCTCCGTCAAGACCGCCAAAGCCCCTTTTAGCCATGATGTAAAAAAGTCTGCAATAATATTAGTGATAGGCAATTGTGTTACATTCCAAACAAGTGTATAATATTCACAGAGCACTAAAACATGTAACACATCTTCATGATCTAAACCACACATTGGGCATATTGGGTCCACCTCCACCCTTTTAATAATCAAGTTAGTGGTTGTTGGCAAAATATCACATATGGATCTCCACAAGAAAGTCTTCCACTTGGGAGGGACTTTTAATTTCCACATTGAAATCCATTTATCAAACATCACGGGGTTATTCTCATAGTCGCCCACAATACGCCTATAGGCATTCTTCACAGTATATGTCCCCTTTGGGTCACCCATCCAATACCATGAGTCCTCGTAATCAGGACTAATAGGGATCATATTTATTCGTTCCACATCCTCAGTAATAAACAGGTCAGATAAAATATGTGGATCCCATGTATGTGTCTGTAAATCAATCAATCCTGCAACCCGTGCCTCTCTCAACTGCTCTGGCATTTCTATTTGGATCAATGTGCTAGGATTATCTCGCAGCCACGGATGTCCCCATATTAAAGTTGTCTGTCCATTCCCAATTCTCCTCCGGACCCCCGAGACCACCATTGCATGCACTGCCATTATACTTCTCCAACAATAACTTGGGCAATTACCAATAGTAGCATCAGTAAAATTGGTATAATACATTGCTTTATAAATTTTTGCTGCGAGTGTTCCTGGGTCTGTTAGAAAACGCCATGCCTGTTTTCCCAGCAAGATTAAAAGCCCTAAGCTCTTCAAAACCCATACCACCTTTCGGGACGCACAACCTGTCCCAAGCCTTCCAATGTATTCCCCTTTCTCTTCCATTCCCCCACCAGTACTTATTCATAGTTTGCTCAATTGACTGACAAACTGTCTCAGGTAACAAAAAAACAATCATTGAGAAGGTAGGCATAGATTGCGCTACACTTTTCAATAATACTTCCTTATCAGCCTGAGAAAGCAACTTTTTACTCCACGAACCAATCCGCTCTCTGATCTTCTCCTCCACATAAGAGAAAACAGTTCTCTTATTCCTTCCCACAAAGGAAGGCAGACCCAAATATTTCCCAAAATTGGGTGCTTGCACCACCCCAAGATAATCCGCTACCTGCGCCCTGTCACCCTCCTGGGTATTCCTGCTAAAGCATATATAGTACTTGCTTAATTTAATAATATATTATATATATTAAATTTGGTAAATGGTAAATTATTTGGCTTAATATTACCATATTTAATATTGTATATTATTTTGGCAAATGGTAAATATATGGTAATTGCTTATTTTGGAATATTAATGCCATTTAGTTCTCCTATTAATTTTGGTATTAAATTCATTGTTAAATTATCATTCAATTTGGAGCAAATATTAAGTTTTAATTTGCTGTTTGAATTTTAATTTAATGTTAAGTTGTATATTAAATTGCCTCAGGTATTGCAATTTATTTAGGATATATGAGTTAATAATATATTAATATGCAAATCCAAGCATGCTATGTATATTTATTAAATAATTATTTTATTATTATATATAATTATGCATTCATAATAGCATGCATTAAGGTTGGATTTAACATATTATTAACTCATAAATTCATTATGAAAATATCATTTAATTTTAGATCCTTTGACCAATTCTAGGTATTATGACCTACTAAAGCAGCTTGTTTGGTTTCCCTTTAATTTGAGCACATTTTAGTTTTATGTGTCTTTAGGGACTTTAGAACCTGTTTTGAACAAGCTATTTGGGACCTATCTTGGGTCATTAAAGTGTGGATCCCACCATTTTGATTGATATTATAATAATAATAATTATAGTTTTTTTTTTTTTTTTTTTTTTTTTTTTTTTTTTTTTTTTTTTTTAAAGATTATAACATGTTTATTAAGTTTTAATTATTACTAACTACCATATTTTGACATTCATCGTTGGTAATAATATTAAGTTTTGAGTCTACTTCAGTATTAGATCATTTTTCATCCATGTTATAATTTACTTGGGTCATTGAGGTTTATGAGCCTAATTTGAGTGATTAAGGGCTATAATTATTGTCTTGGGTGGGCCTGTTTTGAGACATTAAGGATTAATGATTTAATTGTTATTTTGGCCATTAAGAATTACAAACTATTGTTTAAATTGATTAATTTTTAATCTATCAATAGTTTTCAGGGCTTTACTAATAATATTAAGTTTTTAATTTATGGCAAAAGCAATATAGTTAGTATATTGTCAGTATAATGGTAATTTGGTTATTACCTAACTTCAGTCTCCCTAAGTATCATAATAGTCATGATTAATTATTATGTGGTAAAATTGAGATTAGTATTTGGCATTTATTAAGTTAAATTCGGCATTATTAATTACTGTTATTAAGTTTAGGGGCTAATCTCGTTTATTACCTCTTCATAATAATAATTATTTCATGGTAATCTACTATATTTGGTACATTGGTATGACTACCACCTCATTTTACATGACTATTATGGTTGGTAATTAAGTCCTACCAATAAATTTTTAAATGTACCATTGGACGCTGCATCGAGGCTACTGACACTGACAGTGAAGATGGGAGAATTCTGGAGTTTTTCTTCTCTTGTGGATCATCATCGTTGTTAGCGCAAAGGAGAGATGTGGTTTGCATCATTAAGGTTAGCCATTAATTATCTTTTATGGTTATTATTGATAATTAATGCTAAGTTATAGATAACCGCTAATTTGGACTAGTCACATATTTTATTCTTTAGAAAAATAGAAACATTAAAAGGTGCATTATCATACTTTGATTTGTCATTATTATTAATGTTAATAGTGATTATAATGTCACTTATTACGATTAATAATTAATTAATAATGACATTAATATTGTTATGGTATTCAAATATGTATCTTGAACTGTTTTCATATAAATTTATGTGACAATATTCCAGTTAAGAAAATAGTGTTCTTGACATTAATGTTTTTCGGACTTCAAATTTTATTAAGTTTTCAAAATTTTATCCGAAAACGTTTATAAATGTTAGCGATTTTAATCATTGTTTTTTCCATATTTAGTCTCCTACATAATGTGATAATATTATTATGGTTATTTATGCTATTTTGGTTCTTTGCAATTTTGCCATTCATAATAATAATATTATTATATGGGTTATGGAGAGTGATTTTGAATCAATTTAGTAATTTTGGAAAAACATGTTTGCTAGGCAATTGCCTATTGCCATTAATTCCATAATTCATTTAATTCTTTGAATTATGATTGCCCATATTTGGTTAAGTATGAATAAATGAATATTTGGTTTAAATTCATATTTTTTTAGTTGGTTCATACTCTTTAGATTTTTATGCATCCGATCACATTAAGTGCATAATATTAAGTTTAATTATGTAATTAGGGGTTATGAGATTTTAATTTACAAATGCTAGCATATCCTTTTGGTTTGATATTGTTTGAATTTGTAAATTTAGTTATTTATCATAAATTTGATCTTTATGCATTAAAACTTTTTCCCATGGGCTTACAGTTTAAAAAATTTTTAAAGTATATATTCAGTACATTATTATTCAAAATGTTGGGTCTCTTTTGGTTTGTACTCATTGGTGTTTGAATATTAAGTTTATACTTTAAAATCTCATATTGTAAATTGCTTTAAGTTATGCAATTTATTTGGAATGTATGAGTTTAATGTTTAATTTTGTGCATATTTGTCCACCACATAATATTATGCCTTTAGTAATGCATAAATTTAGGATGGAATTATATTAGTTTCTATTTAAGTTGGACTTATGCATAAACTTTAGTTGCGGTAGTGCCTGAATTTAAGCATGTTTAGTCCGCTAATTTAGTTCACCATTTAAGCTTTAATCATAGGTGAACCATACAGTTTTTGGTGTATATCCTACAGTTTTAGGTTCATACCCCAAACAGTTATACATTAAGTATATATGAATCGGGGAGACATACTAGTTTTAATGGCCATGACTTAAGAACATCTTGTGCCACTAGTCTCCTTAAATTGATACTCTATCTAAGGAATTGGTTTTCAGTGAGACTTAGTCTCTAACCACCTTTCCTTGGAGTATATTTAGATTTTCCCATCACAATCTGGTATAATTTGTTTGTCAAAATTTTAAGTATTCCTTGCCAATGTGATTTGATTTCGGTTCATTAAAGAATAGCCAAAGCATCTTTAATTTACTGAAGTCTCTTAAGTTTTCATCTTGGTTAATTAAGGAATAGTTACAGCATATTCACCTACCTAAGATTATTAAGTTTTAATCACGTAAAGTTTAGGCAAGAATTTGATAATTGTCTAGTGATCTTATAATTTTAATTTGGTTTGGGAGTAGCCATAGCATCCTTAATCTGTTAAAATTATATATATTAAGCGGTTTATTTTGATCACATAAAGTTTTGGACATAGCATTTGTGATTAATTGTATGTAATATGATGAAATTTAGCCCACATGCAATTTCGTTATATTTGTATAATTAATCAGGATGAAATACTGGACTACGGTCATAATTTAGCCCACAGGCAATTATGTATCGGAATGTAGTTTAGTAGTTTTATCAGTGATGATAGAAATAAATCAATTTATTTACTTTATGGTTATTTGTAAATAATTTCCAATTCTATCATGAAGTTCAGTTTTATGATGTAAATTTATATCATATTTCTTAATTTGCCCACAGGGATTAAGAAAAGGAACATGATCTCTTAAGTTCTTCATCATAATGATAGCAATGAATCTTATTGAGTAAAACTTTAGCCTACACGCAAGTTTTATGTCATTTGATTTTTCAACTCATTTGATAAATTGTTTCATCATAAATAAAAATTTTCAGTTAGGATCTAATTGAGTAAAACTTTAGCCCATAGGCAAGTTTTATGTCACTAGATTCTTCTGGCTCTTTAGTAATTGTGAAAAATTATTATCATAAGGGTTTCTTAATTGGATTTAATAGAATTAAAACTTTAGCCCAAATGTAAGTTTTATGTCAATAAATCCCACCACCCATTAGATGATAATTTTATCACAATTTCTTAGAGTTATAAATTCAGTTCAATTATAATTCTAAGTTTCATGGTTTGCATTGGAAAAACATGTTTTTCAGTCACTTCCCAAAATTTAGTCACTTTTATTAATTGATCCACGAATCTTGCTCGGTTCTTCAGACTAACTGTAGTAAGTTACGTGATTTGACATACATCTTTTGGATTCCAATAATAATAATAAAATGTATCTTTTGAGCCAAATTCTAACTTGGTTTTGGAAGGTGTATTTTTTTTTATTTTTTATTTTTTTTAGTATGTCCAACTATGGTGGGGAATTATATCTTCATTATTTAGTTGGACTTTAATTGGAACCAAAATTGATTATTTAGTATGTCCAACTAATGGTGGGGAATTATGTCTTCATTTGTTAGTTGGTCAATAAATCAATTATGAGTATGTATGTTATTAAGTTCATTTTATTAATTTCGCTGAAGAATGTTTTAATCAGTGGGAGTGATCATTTAGAAAAAGATCATTAAATTACTCCACTAAAGATTTTGGATTTAATTATTGGCTTCATACATTTCAAATTAGATTGTATGTCAAGCAATAAGTCCAAAATATTCCACAAGTATTAATCTTGTATTTGTTCATATGAATTCATAAGTTCAAATTATTGAACATTTGGTTGTGCAACATATTTATGAAAATGTTGTAACAATATTAATGAATTTATTAGAACAAAAGTATTTAACTTTTGGTGCACTGTCATTTAATAAATTCTTTAGTGATTAATAGGGTCTTTAGTTTCTTCAAAATTGATCCTGGGCCATTTT